CTTCTTCTTCTTCTTCTTCTTCTTCTTCTTCTTCTTCTTCTTCTTCTTCTTCTCTTAATGTAATGCCTGCTACATGAGAGTGTCTGGTGTTTATACATCATCCCGTGGTGTGGATTTTACTATCAGCTGACCCCGGTGGTGCCCTTATGGTCAAGTGGGTTTACAGTCTGAAAAACTGAACGTCACCAGTTAGCTAAAATGCGCTGCACATCAAATCACCTTTAGTCTCGTCCGTTAGGAAAGTCAGGCGAGAGTAACTATACACTAATCAAACATACATCTTTGATGTATACTTTGATCTGTACTAGATAATGATAGTCTACAAGGTAGCGGTCCTCGACAATTTTGTGCTCCAACGAACTGCAGCCTCTATTAAAAGTGAGAGACATGTACTTTTAAAATCGATCTTAGGTTTAAGGCACAGGGTTTTGAACAGAGAGATAACTCATTATCCCAGTGTATAAAGAGTCCCATTCATTTTACCATTACTATTGGATTAAGGCAATTAGTTTACCTGCTCTTTGGGTGGAAAGGGGGGGGGGTACTTCAGATCAAATGCGCAACCAAGTAGAATTATGGTATTAAACTATTCAGAATTCTAATTTAGTAAAACCTTAGCAACGGCATTGAAAGCGTCTTTCAAGAAATAGTATTATCAGCCAAATTCAGCTCAAAGACGATTCGCAAGTCGGTTCCCTATGGTTATGTCACATACATGGTGTGCCGATCAGACTAATGTAGTATAGATTCTTATAATATCAAAACTGGTTTAGAAAAAAATAGGGATTTAACAGGTGAAATCTTTGATTAACGAAAAAGAGAAAAACGAATGAATTGACAACGCAAAAGGTGGTACATCAAAAGGTGAGTGAGGGTGTGAGTAAGTAAGTGAGGGAGAGAGTGAGTGAGTGAGTGAGTGAGTGAGTGAGTGAGTGAGTGAGGGAGAGAAGGAGGATTGAGCGGAGTGAGTGAGTGAGTGAGTGAGTGAGTGAGTGTGAGTAAGGGAATGAGTGAGTGAGAACGAGAGGGAGTGATGGAGGGAGGGAATGAGTAAATTAGTAAGTGGAGCGGACCAAATAATGGGTCCATGAATCGACAGATAACTAAAGAACCTTTGATCGACTCTGCCAATAAAGAAATATATAAACAAGCTGGCCGATTAATAGATCGATAGGTAAAAAATAGTGATTGGTTCAGTTGGGTCAGTTAGGTGAGTAGCTTGACTTTTTAGAACTTAATGTTTGGTCGATTGGTTTGCTATACAGTATGAAAACCAATCGAACCAATGAATGCGCTGGATACGTATTTTATCTGAGAAGAAAAGTGTTATCAATGCCCTGAATACCTGTCAGCGGCTGTCAAGTTACAACTAGACGATAAACTGACCCATGACGTGTACACTGTAGACAGACATGGCTGTAATAATCAGATCAAGATAGCGAAATGTCTGTCTGTATCAACAACTTTAGTGCTCGAGAACTTAACACATTCGATCTCTCCGCCTTCACCGCGACGTCAGTTCTGTCTGAGCCTTTAATAGATGACTGAACCTGTACAGTTTGTCAGTTTCTCTTTGTTTGGAGAGGATTTTACAGGACTGGTTGTCGTTTCTGTTTTCTCGCTTCATATGGGTTTGTTTCTCTTCATTATTTTTTATCATTTTATTTTTCTCATGGCGTATTTTTGATATACTAAACATTGTGTCAACTGCTAGGCTACTTTTAACTCTTTGAGTACTTTATTTATATCCAATCAGCACCAGACCAAAGGCAATGTTGCTTCACATTTCAAACCATCATAATTACATTAAAAACATACATTTGTGCATATTATTATTTTCTATTATGCCTGTAGTTACCTGCCTGTTTAAAGTTTCCGGAAGAAAAAAAATTGAAAACTCTGAATAAATAAAATAGAGTTTGTGCCTCTTTTGTATTTTTATAATAACCCCCTCAAAAGCAGCGCATACTCAAAGAGTAAAAAAGAAATCGTCTTAAGTAATTTCACTTCGTCATTTTAAAACAATTAAGCAGCGGAGAGCGTTGACCCAATGACAATAAGGGAAACAAAGTACATGTAAGACTGTCAAGTGTTTTGCCGTTTAGGCATATAGTGTTGAGGATTTAGACAGAGATATATTCCTATATAGCTGTGATAAAACCGAGCGACAAATACGACACTGTTTTAAACTTCCTAACTCTGAACGCTGCCAAACTAATGTTCCAGAGCTTTATTTCTCTTTGGAAGCTATTTGCCTTTGCGTTTTCAGAGCAAGGTTTCATTCACTCTTAACTTTTAAAAAAAATTACCTTTCACCCCTTTGTTTTGTTTATTTCTATCACAAAAGTAAACTCAATTTCAGCTACGGGTAATTCGTTCACATTGACAACAGTTTACTGGTTAGTGGTAACTAGGGATGTGCCCAAGGGCAACGCACATTAACCTATAGACTTGTATTACGATATCCTAGCCAATACACTCTGATGTATTTTCGGTTCACCACGGAGCTCACCGTTTGACTCAATTTGATTTGTAACCAAATAAAGGGCAAGGAGGAAAATGTGCAGCGAGCATTCGACTTTCGCAAATCAGGTGTTTTGTTCTTCATTAGGGTGCCTGTGGTGAGCATGATTGCCATCAAAGTTTTCGTAGAGAACCGAGAGCAGCAGCCATGACCGGGAACGGTGTAGGATATTATAATTTTTCGAATGTTTGTGTTTACCCAAGCTCCAAATGCGGCGCGCTGCTCTGTGCTAACCAGTGAAACAAGGGCGTTTGATTAGGGTGGAATTTGGATTTCCTTTGAAATAATGACGTGTTTCTTAACAATTAATGTAAATAAGTTATAATAGAGTTGTCACCCCCCACATCTCCCTGCCTCCCTACCTCCCTACCTCCCTTCTCTCACTCTCTCTCTCTCTCTCTCTCTCTCTCTCTCTCTCTCTCTTTCTCTCTTTTTCTCTCTCTTTCTCTCTTTGTGTCTCTCTCACTCTCACTCTCTCTATCTATCTCTCTCCCTTCCCCTCTCCTTCTCCCTTTCTCTCTTTCTAGCTCTCCTTTCTCTCTCTCTCTCTCTCTCTCTCTCTCTCTCTCTCTCTCTCTCGGTCTATATATCTATCTATTTATCTCTCTCTCTTTCTCTTTCTCTCTCTCTGTCTCTCTCACTCTCACTCTCTCACTATCTCTCTCCCTCCCCCTCTCCCTCTCCCTTTCTCTCTTTCTAGCTCTCCTTCTCTCTCTCTTTCTCTCTCTCTCTCGGTCTATCTATCTATCTATCTATCTATCTATCTATCTATCTATCTATCTATCTATCTATCTATCTATCTATCTATCTATCTATCTATCCCCCCTCCCATTTTGGGGGGTCTTTCTTTTCGCTTGATTCGTACGAATGACCTTATATATCGATTTATTTGTCTTCAGAATTAAATCTCCTCTAAGATCATAGCCGACCAATAGCTGGAGACTCCTACCAAACCTACAGGAGTTTCCTTTTCGCTGTGAGCTCAGAGGTTCAGCAAAAGTATGGCGCCGACCCCGGGAAGAGAAGGCACAGAAGCCGTAGTTGATTTGCTTGGCTCCGGAACACAAGAAACTGTTCCAGTCGACCTTCGCGTTCACCGGCTGGGTTACCAGGTCACAGACAAGCCAGGAAAATGGTGGCAGAGAATTACACACATTCAGGTATTGATAGGATTGGTTGCTTTTTTTTTTAGTAACAAGTTTGCCGCTTCTAATTAAATAGAATAGAGCATAGCAGAGTATAGTTTATTCATTTTCTTTCCATCTTTTGTTTCTATCCGTTAATCTTACATTTGCTTAGAACAACTAGACCATTGTTGTGTTTACAAGCTACTCTTTTTCAAACAAATCAATAAACAAATAAACAAACAGACGTTATTATTATCCTTTATTTATCCAGATGCCATGGGAGTGGATGGAGCCAGGGAGGACAACTCAGATCCTGCAGGATGTCAGCTTTACCGCAAAGAGTGGTCAGCTCATGGCAGTCTTAGGTGGCTCCGGTATGAGTACAGTGCTAGTTCTGTCTTATTTTTGTAGCAACACTGGTTACGTAGCGGGCAAAACTCGTGCTCGACAACTGATGCTTCACTGTTTTAGTTTTAGTAAAAGTTTCGTGGCACTTGCAGCACAATAAGGTCATATAAGTGTCGAAGATTATAGGTGTTACCAGAGCGTAACAAACACAAAAAAGAAGGAGGGGAGATATGGCCGATAGATGTTTGAAATGAAAAAGAAGCAAGTCACACTAGAGCACCTACACCAGCCACTCATGCCTCACTGTTGTTTTAGCGTAAAAATGTGCACCTCTCACTAATCGTTTTCGCCAGCACTTTATCCCTCGTTCGTATCGTTTTCACTGATCACAGGCTTTGCTAAGATTTGAAACATTACAATCCGTTACACAAACGTAATATTTTTCGCAAAGCTCAATTTTCATTAATTTGTATTCTTGAGGGGTAAGAGTAAATGCCCCCCCCCTCTCTCTCCCTCCCTCCCCCCCTCTCTCTCTCTCTCTCTCTCTCTCTCTCCTCTCTCTCTCTCTTTCTCTCTCTCTCTCTCTCCTCTCTCTCTCTCTCTCTCTCTCTCTCTCTCTCTCTCTCTCTCTCTCTCTCTCTCTCTCTCCCATTTAAAACTTACTTGACTTAGCACGCATTTTTTTCCTCCGTGAGGCCGATTTTGTTGGCTGGGACGCCATGCGTTAAGACGCTTTTAAGAATGAGGGCCTCATTAACTTTTACCCGTTGTGATTGACATAAGCTAGTCAGGCTGGTGGTTGGTAGGGGGGACCTAAATGACTCACTTTTTGCATTTACTTTCATAGATGGCCTTTTATGCCCCCATTGACTTGGCTTTCACCAGAATTGGGTATCTTCACAGGGTCCAAGATGTCCTGTGAATATCAATTTTTTGTTGTTGTTGTTGTTTCTTTATTTCTGTTCTTTAATTCTTTGTTTGTTGGTTAGTTGGTTGTGTTCTTTTTATTGTTTTTGCTGGGTTCTTTGTTTTTTGTTGGGGGGGGGGGGGGGATAGAAACAAAAAATAAAAATTCTTTTACTTGCTCGTACTCCCAGCCGCTTGCTTCTTTTAGAAATAAAACCCACACTAAAAGTGAATCCACATTCCATAATATTCTCCTCCCAGGCAGCGGGAAAACAACCCTTTTGGACGTGCTAGCATCTCGCACTACGACGGGTGAGATGAGTGGAAACGTGTACCTTAACTCTGTGGCTGCCACCAAAGACATCGTGGACGCCTGTACGGGCTACGTGCGTCAGGACGACCGGCTCATTTCCTTCCTCACGGTTCGGGAGTCGCTCATGTTCGTGGCTCAGCTCAAACTGCCCAAGAGTTTCACGCACGAACAGATTGTGGACAGAGTGAGTTCTTCAGTTTTCAGTTTGTACGTGCCAGGCGTTGGAGAAAGTGGTGGTTGTACAGTTGGGTGGTTTTTTTTTTGCTGTTGCTGCGGCTATTGCTGTAACTGCTACTACTGCTGCTGCTGTTAATGTTGTTGTTGTTGTTGTTATTGTTGTTGCTGCTGCTGACGCTGTTGTTGTTGTTGTTGTTGTTGTTGTTGTTGTTATTTACTTATACGGTTCTTTGGGAAATGTTAAGATATTGATATAAATTATGTCGAAGTGCAGAACGAGGAGGACGAGGATTAGGAGGAGGAGGAGGAGGAGGAGGAAGAGGAGAAGGAGGAGGAGGAGGAGGAGGAGGAGGAGGAGATGGCGAATGATGATGCTGATGCTGATGCTGATGCTGATGCTGATGCTGATGATGATGATGATGATGATGATGATGATGATGATGATGATGATGATGATGATGATGATGATGATGATGATAATGCAACTACCCAAAAATCCTACTTTTTACTCTTCTTTTCAAATGTTAAAATTACAGTGATCGTCAAACGCTACTAATATCTTTACTACCCAGCCAAAATACAACTACTGAGCCATCCCCTACTTATCTGCTGACACCTACCTCCATCTCCAGGTAGATCGTGTCATTCAAGAGCTGGGCCTCAAACATGTGGCAGACACAAAAGTTGGCAATGCTACTCAACGAGGTCTGTCGGGGGGTGAGAGGAGGAGAGTCAGCATCGGCATACAGTTGCTTATTCTGCCAAGTGAGTTCTTTTCTTTTCATATACTTTTTTTGTTCCTTTTTGTACTGTTTGCTGAAGCTTTTAAAAAGCCCTCAGAGCTGCACATATCCATACGTGGAAATGAACCTTTTAAGTACTCAAAATGTGGCAATTAAATCCCTTGTGCCAGAATTGGTCTCCCTGGCCTTAGCAGAAGCCACAAGTCATCTGGACCCTTAATTTATTATGTCACCTATATCAAACTTTAGAAACATTCTCCTCTACAGATATTGGTCATCATCACACGTTGACGGACGAACTGTTAAATAATAGTAGTACATGAAGCAGTAGTAATAGTAGTAGCAGTAGTAGTAGTAGTAGTAGTAGTAGTAGTAGTAGTAGTAGTAGTAGTAGTAGTATAGTGGTAGTAGTGGCAGCAGCAGTAGCAGCAGTAGTAGTAGTAGTAGCAGCAGTAGCAGTAGTAGTGGTATCAAAGTATAGTCGAATGCCATTTCATAAGGCTTGATTGTAGTCCAGAACGTCCATGGTCACCAAGAAGATCAGAGTAACTGGATTTCAGCTGTGTCTTACAAGAACAGGAAACAGCGGGCTGTGATGTTGTTGATGGGTGAAGAAAGGGGATTTTACTTTATCTTTACTCTTTAACAATAATAACTGTGTCTCTGTTTATATTTGAACTGGAGATCGGCGTTTGTGGTGTGGCGAATAGGTGCTTGTGTATCGCGATGAGAAGACCGAAGTTCATTTACTTTTTTGGGAGTTTTTTTTTTATCGAGTATGTCGGTTTTTCTACTAGGACGTTGTATCTGTTGCAGCCCAAGTTGGGCCTGATAGGCAGGGTCGAAGCCCATTACCCAGATTAACTAAAGTATCGATGAAGGTATCAAAAAACAACATTATTATGATGTTTTAAACAATAAAAAACTGCAAATGCAAAGTTGTGATTAAAGAGAAGTATTCTTTTTTTTTAAGAGAGTGAAGTTGAAGAAGTGTACTTAGAGACAAAAATGCTGATATGTACATTTTAAAAAAATTTCTAGGGGGGGGGGTGGGTTGGATTACGTTTTTCCCCTGAATTTATCGATTCTGGAAATGAGGAATTGTAGCTTCAAGTTGAACCGTGGGTTACATTTTATGAATTATGATATACTAAACAACAAAAGTTACGCAAGTCTACTTAAAGACGCGGGAGTTTAATAACCCACATTCGCTAAAATATAGGCCATGACCGACTTTTTGTAATCAGTGATGTTGTGGGCTTATGTCACCATGCTGAAAAATGCTCACAGTATAAAATGAGGTCACAATATGGTGGCGAAGAAAAAAATGCAAACTGGGTAGTTTCTTGAGCATGCCAGTTGGTGAGCTGTTTTTATCCCCTGAAAAGTGTTCACCCGACCGAGGGGTATTAATTGACAGGACGTAACGCTTTCTTCAGTCGAGTGTTTTGAGCCAGCGACCGTGCCGCGTCTCAGAGAAACAAACTAAGAAAGAGCTATCGGGACATTACAGGAGGGAGAGAGTCCAACAGATGTGTCTATTGCCATGGATGTGTCCCTCTCAACAATATGTTGACTCCGGAGACGTTTTCAAGTCACTGGAAGTACTCGTGATGCTCACAGAACTGGCCGACCACGAGTGACGTCAATACACCAAGACCGTGCCCTTCTGCGGAATAATCTGCGAGACAGCTTCAAGTGTGCTACCAATTCGGCCAGAAATCTCGCTGGATACCATGGGAGAGCCATTTCAGGTCAGTCTGTGCGCCGCCGGCTTCGAGAAGGACTACTGCAATGTCGTCGACCTTTGAGACGGGCAGTCCTCTCTGCAAGATATCGGCATCAACGTTTGGTGTGGGCTCAGGAACATGTGAACTGAACCTGACCACAGTGGAGAAATGTCTTATTCACTGGCGAAAGCCGTTTTTGCGTAAGTGGAGGAGATGGAAGAATCCGGATATGGAAAAGACCCGACTAACGGTTTGCTGACAAAAACGTCCTGCAGGTCGATGCATGGGGTGATCCCAGCATAATGATCTTGGGTGCAATCAGCCCAACCAACACTAGGGACCCTTTGTTTTCCAGATCATTGGACCTCGTTAAAGTAATGGTGTTAATGCACAGCGCTACATCCGACAGGTACTGATACCGGTGATCATACCTCATTTCCAGCAATGCCCGAACTCTATGCTGCATCAGGACAATGCCCGACCCCATACTGCAAGAGCTACAGCAGCCCTTTTACAGCAGAACAATGTCAGGGTGCTGCCATGGCCCTCAGTGAGCCCAGACCTCAACCTGATCGAACACTACTGGGACCACATCCAAAGAGAACTGAATCGTTTTCAGCCAAGACCAACAATAGCACCTCAGCTGCAGCGAACCAACACACAAATTGGTGCAAATGTGAACAAGGCCATCATTCACAGACTTGTGTGTGAGGTCAATGCCAAACAGATGTCAAGCTGTTCTGAACGCAACGGCATGCACACACGCTATTGACTCAAAAGTTGACATCACCGACTTATGGGCATACCATTTAACCACAGTACATCATTTTCACAGCAAATTCAACTTGTTTTCTCTCCGACGGGACTCTTAATCCTTACAGAGGAATCCTTTTCAATAAATGTGACCAAAAAAATCAATAAAATTCCAAATTGCTTACCAATGTCTTTATCTTACTTTACTTTGTATATCACTCGCGTTTCTTTTGTTGCTGAGTATATTATCTGAAAAGGGGGTTTGCTTTCTTTAGATAGTACAATTTATACATTTGTGCCGCTTTTTTATGACATGATTAATATTCTTCCAAATAAGTTGCTTTCGATTAGCAATGCTTTAGTTACCAATGTCGCTTTATTTGAAGCTCACAGCTAGACTGCGTATTATTAATGAAATAAAGCAATTTATTGGTGTTACTTGATTCTCTAACAATAACAGTGCTGAATGGCGGTAAATTCCAACACCACTTAACTATTTATTTTTATCCCATGGACGCAATGTATATTGGTAGGCTGTTAGATCTAACCCGTTGTGAGAGGAATACCACACCGCTTGTGATAGATGGAGATACTCGATATAAAAGACGCCCCTCCCCTTCCAGTACACGGTCAGTTAAAACGTACAGTTGTCCATCCTCTATGTGATAAGAAAATGTTACGTGATGCCATCTTGATGAAATTACCTTTAAAAAAAATCCAGCAAGAGAAAGAGATACTCGAGAGTCACATATTCATTTTGATACGTTAGTTCCGAATTTCATATCTTATTTACGATAAAAAGTAGTCTTCTATAAGTTACAAACTAATCGGCGGGCTGGACATATGTTTAACACCCCACTCCCCCCCTCCTAAAAAAAACGCACCGTCAAACAGTACGGTTTTATCGTAGAGTGATGGTGTGGCACTACTGCTTCATCACAATCGCCAGTTGACTGAACTCATGCTTCTATCCTCACGTCAAAGGTATTCTACTTCTGGACGAGCCAACGTCTGGCCTGGACTCCTTCACAGCTAACAACATTGCACAGACTTTGTCCAGACTGGCTTCAAAGAAGCGAACAGTCCTCATGTCCATCCATCAGCCCAGGTACAGACTTGAATTTTTTTTTTAAAGCAAAATTTAATTAAAATGTTATATGTTGTTACGGATTTACTAGATGTTTGATATCCATTTTTCAAGTAAAATCAATTTCGAAAACGTAGATAATCTTTTACATTTGAAAGTTAAGGTTACTTCACTTCAGGTGTTTTGGTCAATTATTTCCCATAGTTTGGGAACAGACGTCAAAAATGCAATGATTCTCACCAGACGAAAAGAATACTTTTGCTTCCTTTTTTAACGTATGACTCAAGTAAAGAACAAAGGCTAAAACAACGTCTTAACGTGGACAAATGGTACATTTCTATAATAAATCATTATAATGTTTCAGGTTCAAGTTTCCCCAGACGAGACACATTTTAAAAAATAGACTGCAACTTTTCTTGAAACTCATGTTTTCGTTATTACATCATTCTCTTAATAGTTAGTGTAATTAAGTTGGTAATCTAGTGGTTAGGTTATCAGACTTGTAATCATGATGTTGCAAGTTTGGGGATTTGAGGATAAACCTTGCACAATATTGCATCCTTACAAAAGGCACTTTACACAATGTTCCTCACTTCATAATGATAATAAATAACTTTTGTATAGCGCATATCCCCGCTCAACAGCAGGCTCTATGCGCTTTACACTATATTATTACCCCAGCAGACCATAGAACACCCCGAAACATTCTCAGCTTCCCGGGAAGCATACAGTGCAAGCAGCTGATTAAGCGCTCAAACACTAACAAACTGACAAGATCTTGCGCTGTCTATAGCCGGGTACCCATTCCCACCTGAGTGAAGTGAGGAAAATTCGTGTAAAGTGCCTTTCCCAAGGACACAACGTCGGGTCACTGACGGGATTCGAAACCACGACCTTACGGTTGCGAGTCCGAGAGCCTAACCACTAGGCCACCGACGCCTCATCCAATCGTGAATGGTCACCCAGCGATACAAAGCGATAGATCTTGTCAGAATGTTAGTTTCAGCGCCTTTAAAAAAAGGGCAGCTTGCACCGTATGCTTCCCAGAAAGTGGAGATTGGTTCAGAATGCTACCATGTTCGCTGGGAATGCACATTGCTGTTGAGTGGGAATTTACGCTAAAGAAATTATTATCATCGTTGTTATTATTGTTGTTATTGCCATTGGTAGTAGTAGTAGTAGTAGTAGTAGTAGTAGTAGTAGTAGTAGTAGTAGTAGTATCATTATAGGCTCCTGCAGTTCGGCTTCGAGGTCACAAATAAGATGAGTAGAAAAAAGGTTGCTAACGTTGACTCCTTAACCATTCGACCATTATTGAAACGAATCAATAATTCTTATAGCTAGGTAGACACACAAAGTTAAATACCAACGCAGGTACGTAATCGCTATGTTGATCAGATAAGGATATTTGTAGATACTATGATATAGCGTCTTGAATTATATTGTGTCATTTTCTTGATACGGTATTTGAACGTGTCCTTGGTCGTTGGAAGAATGGTCTTACGTAATACATGACGTCAATCCTTACGTATTTAATTTGTGTACGCACCAAGGTGAACAGAACACCCTGTGGCTTAATGAGATTACAGAGAGAGAGAGAGAGAGGGGTGGGCGAGAAAGGGAGAAAAGGGGAGTGAGAGAGAGAGAGAGAGAGAGAGAGAGATGGGGGGGGGCGAGAAAGGGAGAAAAGGGGAGAGAGAGAGATAGAGAGAGAAAGGGAGAAAAGGGGAGTGAGAGAGAGAGAGAGGGGGGGGAAGAGAGAGAGTGAGAGAGAGAGAGAGAGAGAGAGAGAGAGAGAGAGAGAGGGGGGGAGGGAGAGAGAGAGGGGGGGGAGAGAGAATCTCATTATTTATTACAAAATGACAATATGAGTGTGTATGAAAGAAGTAAGTTTTTAATATAATAATATGTGTACCGGTCTGCAACTTGAATGATGCTCTGTATCACTGCTTTTTTTTTTTCTTCAAGAAAATAGGTGAATCTATGATACTAACATGTTATACTGGGACAAGCATTTCACTATCACAGAAGGATTTAGAGGCGTTGAATCATGTGTTGTTGTTTTTTTCTCTGTAAGTGTTGTATCAGAATATCTTCTCAACTTGAAAAGTAAAAAAACACCATCTACGCACTGCATTAAATTCAGAAAATCAAGAAATAGTACTTTTACAAATTTATGTTGTTTGTAATAATATTACTAAGCAGATCTTTTCAGAAAAATATACGTTTTTTTATTACTGATAGTAACAATAAATTACTTCAGCGAATTGCACTGTAGTGCTGCTAAGCTCAAAGAGAATTTTTCTTTCATCACGTCTAGATTTTGAGACTGATTTGTTTTTAATGCCTCTTGTTGGTCTGTATGTAGATCTATGTGGGGGTGGGGGGTGTACCGATTACCTCAAATAGAGAGTAAGAGCCACAGTAACCACAGATATAATTATATACAAAATGCTGCTGTTATTGAAAGTTATTGCTGCTTACTTGTTTAAAGAAAACAATTGAAGAAGTTTAGAACCCCTGTGGCATCTTAGAATATTGTTAAGTGAGCTGTTCAGATGTACTAAGCTCAACACTTTGAAAGCGTGTTTTATTGCAGTTTCTGGTTGCTTGTGCTCAAGAAGTATTTTTCAAATTTTAGATTTAAAATGTTGAAAAAGGCACCCCAAAAAATACATAAAATGTAGGTACAATTAGTTAAAAGAAACAGTTTCTTCTCTGTCCTGAAAAATGTTTCTTTCTGCGGTTAGTACATTAAAACGACTTGCCGGGGATCTTTTGTACTCTTCTTCCTTAGGTTCGACATCTTCAACATCGTGGATGTGATGATGATTCTGTCAAGAGGAAAAATTGTGTACTACGGACCAGGCAAGGAGATGATTTCGTACTTCACCACCCTTGGATATCCGTGTCCAGAACTGACTAACCCATGTGACTTTTACAGTAAGTTAGTGGTTCAGAAACATTCCAACTGCTAATTCTCGTGGGTGTTTTGAGTATGATGATAACTATCTGTGGTGAACGCACATTTCACTGTTGATTCTTTTACTACTTTTAGATATTTTTATGCCAACGTTCTGTGGTAGATGCATTTCATTATTGATTGTTGTTTTTGGAAGGGGGGGGGGTGTCGATCATGATTATTAACTGTTTATGGTACACAAGTTTCATGGAAGATTCTTGTCGAAGTTTTGGTCATGGTGTTAACGATGTACGGGAGACTACATTTATTGATTATTGATTCTTTCGCATGCATATGACAGTTGAGTTCTTTGTTGTTTTATGTAGAAAACATTAATTCTGTTGTCGACTGTGAGAATTCCTTACTTTTTTTTAGCTCGAGTATTTCCATCTGTTTGCTAACTGGAAAGTCCTATTCCACTCAACCCCGATGGCCGTGGGGGATGGGGGGTTGTTTTACAGATTGTTTCAGAATGCTCTCAGTCTGCTGGAGTGATGATTCAGATTGTAAAGCGCACGTAGCTTATTATTGAGCTGAAATTTGCTCTGTGCAAAGTATTATTATTATTATT